TCAGTCAGGACTTTCAGACAAAGAAAAAGATCCCGATCATTCTTTTGTCTTCCAATCACTTTTATTATTAGCAGTGAAACTGCTTTCTGAGTAAAGATTGCTTTCCCTCTTTCAGACAGCATGAACTCTTTTATTAAATTACCCTAAAAATGCTGATTACTGTAATCCAAGCCTTCCAGTGTCTAAGGTTTACTTTTAGCTCCATATTTGAGGAAAAGAATAATAATAAAAAAAACCCCAAAGAAACTTGTCACCATTCACTAAAACAACAACAATAGCAACAACAGCCACAGAATATTTGTAGCATACATTCTGGGCAAATGTATGGTAAGTGAATTAAAGTAAACATTATTTTTTAAAAGAATGATGACTTAGCAATGTATGAACTCATCAAAGATTTTATAGTTTCCCCATTCTATTTAAAATTGAGAAGACTGAAGTCATTTGGACTTTTCAAGAAGAACAGAAACGGAATGGTTTGTGGCTTGAGCCTAAAACAGGAAACTCGGTTTTCCTGTAACCCCGCGAGTCTTGGGGGGTCTGTGCTCCGACTGCATTTTCCCTGTGTGTCGAGGGACCTTTAATGACATTCCCTCCTCTACCCACTCACTTGAGTTCTGGGTGCACTTGGGGAGCAGAGAGGGGCATGCACAAGCCAGCCTGTGTGGAGTGGATCCGGCCCCTCCGGGGAGACTTCTGTTTGACTCTACCCAGTTCCCTCCACATCACAAATGACAGCAAGGTGATACTAAATCAAGATGAGTGGGATGCTGACAGTGAGGGCAAGAACCCGAAACCCTGAAAACCAAGCGGTTAAATATTATGAGCACAGCCATGCCTTGCTGAACTCGTTTTTCAGGACAGAAAAGCAGATTGTGGAATTATTCACGCCAAAGTAATCCTTGCTTAATTTAATCATCGAACTAGGTTTCCTAATATGGATATTTTCTTAGACTTCAATTTGTTACATAGCTAACTTATTTTCTAATAGTCTATGTTGGTAATAAGAAAATGAATTACATGCTCTTGGCATAAAGATGACAAGTTAGATCTGAATTTATCCCACACAAACTCAGTACCCCTCTAAATTCAATCAGCCCGAGACCCCTCTGCAAGCTATCAGATCTGGATGCCAACTGTAAACAGATGGCCACTCGACACACTCTGCCCCCGAATGTGAAGGCCAGGGTGTGTGTTCGCCAGGAAGGGTGTGTGTTCGCCAGGACCTGTCCAGGGCAGAGCAGGAGGGACACGCGGTCAAGCTGAGGGTGAGGGAGGCCCCTGGGCCTCCAAGTTGGGGACCTTTCAACACCCTGCAAAGTGGGCGCTCATCCAGGCAGGGGCCCAGGTGTCTGGCACCCAGAGGCTGGTGCCCACGGTCGCAGGCGCGAGCCAGGAGAAGTGCCAAGGCAAGCAGTGGCAGTCGCAGTTCCCCACCTCTCCACGAGGCACTGAGCTACCAGAGCATCACCGCCCGCCTGCGACAGGAAACCTGATTATTAGGAGCATTAAACACGAAAAGATCGCCACCTTCCCGGGGCCGCAGACCGCCGGTCTCACTTGTCAAACACGAGTTCGCTTCTGACACTGATTTCTTAAATTTCCGCTGACGTGGCAATCCGCAGCGCCTGCTCCCCAGCTCTGAAACGCTTTAGAGACTTCACAGCTAAGCAGTCAGAAAGGATTTGGGGTTTCATTCAGCTCCCTGACCTGTTTAAGAGAATCGTGGAAATAAACCAATTTTCAGCTAAGGGCTGAGAAGGCCTCTCTCTCCTTCTGAAAGGCTCTTTGTATCGATGCCATGAATCAAATGGTTTGTCTAAGCGGTTACTCTGACCCACCAGTGAGGAAGGCGCGGAGATGTGGCGGTGAATCACATTTAATAACTTGCGGTTAGCTGTCATGAACACTTAATTTGACGCTGAACACGAACCCTGCAGGGCGGAGGGGCTGAGGCGGGCGAGGTGGGCTTGGATGGGGCAGAGGAAGTGAGGCCCCGAGGTTCCCTCCTCCCCGGATCCCCGTGCGATCCTGTCTGCCCTGCCTTGCAGCTCTGCAGCTCATTGAGGAGGCGGGCAGCCTGGGTTTTCCCTGCCCCTCCCGGCTTTTCTGGGGTCCCCTCACGACGAGGGAGGCTCCCTGCTGCACAGCCTAGCCTGTTTGCACAGCGCTACTGGAGGGCTGTCAGCTGCTGAAGAATGCAAAGCTTCCAGGGAACCCACAGGAGGTTTCCTGCAGCGCGGAGCTGTCTGGCAGGCCACGGAGCCTTCTGCAGCAACTGCTGAACACTGCCGTCCCTGTGTCCCAGAGGAATGCGTCGAAATGCAGAAGACCACAGCGTCACATGTGGGCCATGTGTGCTGGCGGCAGCCGCTCTAGCCCCGCGGGCAGTTTGCTTTGTCACTTGGGGAGCAGATGCGTGGGGGGCTGGGGAGCTGGGAGCCCCGAGGGCCACCCCACAGGAGAGGCCTCTGAGGAGCCCTCCCGGTGGCGGGCATGGAGCCCGAGCTCAGGCCCAGGCCCTGCCCTGCACAGCGACATGCTGGCTCTTTCCAACACTGTCTGCTCCACGCACACTGAGTGTCACAGATCTCCCCAGGGACTGCTCAGCCAGCCTGGGACCTTTCACGCGTGCTCCAGACTCCTCTGCAGGGACAGTTCGTGCTGTGCTCAGGGTGTCTGCTTCCAAGGAAGATGGGATTTGACGTGAAAAATCCCCCGCAAGCCCGATTCTCAAATCAAAGGAGTGGGAAGTGTCTCCTGGTAGATCCGTGGATTTAAACCAAAGCGAACCCTGCTATAGTCAGATCAACGCAAGTTAGGGTGAACATCCCTGACAGCAGCAAGCAGCCCGAGACCGGCTCCGCTGGTCCCCCGCAGCACTGCGCCTCCCCAACTGACACATCAATACTTTCAGCGAAACTCACAAATTCAGAGGACCAGACCAGCATGAAAAGTAAAAGTTTCTGTTTATCATATTTTCATTTTCATTCACTAGTAGCATTAGCAGAAAAAAAGTTATATTTAAACCAAAACCAAACCTGTAGGATAGAAGTAATGAGCCTGTAGTGCCCCAGTAAAACACAGCTAAAAAACCCACTATCCACTAAATAAGCACAAATACATGCTGTAATCTTTGCACACTAAGAGTGCAGCGGGTGTATTCAACTCGGAATGGGGGCCTCAAGCTCCACGGGGCAGAGCCACCCCCCTGGAGAGACGAGAGAAACAAACTGGAACGGGGAGCTCAGTGGGCAAAGCCAGCACCGTGAGGGTTCACTTAGGAAGGCCCGGGAGTGAGAATAAAGTAAAGGATTTTAAAACTGGAGAAGTCTTCAGTGTATGCCTGCTCCCCAGCCTTCAAATGCATCATCTGAGGGAAAATGCGTTTCACTTCCATTCCTCTCAGTTATTTACTAGTTATCACACTAGGGGAGACTGAGGCAGGTGCGGTGGGGGCTTAGCAACTTGCTGCCTTGTGGCCAACGGAGCAGAGATGGACACCTAACTGCTGCTGTGGTCCCTTCCAGTCTGCTCCGCCCTTCCACACGAGGCAGGGCGGCGTCCGGGTGACAAGTTCTGTGACAGCAGACACCGGAACAGATGCAGGTGAAACTCACCGGACAAATCGATAGTCCAGAGCCCGAGGAGTCCACGTGGCTGAACCAGTCCCCAAGAACAATATTCCTTACTTTAAGAAGTGATTTTCTTAAACCAGTTAAATTCTCAGAACATTATGGGTAGACCGAAAATATGCAGATAAACACATTAAAGTATTTCATAACTGTTCCCTTCTTTACTTACTTTCCAAGACTTGAACCCGGGTCGGCGCTTCTCCTGAAGAGTTCTGAGCTCTTTCCTAGCCGCGGGAGGCGGCCCACTTGGGACCTTGTAATCAGCGGCCCCAGAGCCCAGGGTGGCTTCCCTGCCTGATCCAGCCTCAGAAGAAGAGCGTGAGCCCAGGCCCTTCGGGGCCGTGATCCTCCATGAAAACAGAAAGGGTGTTAATTTCGGAGCAGTTAACCTGACACTCACCCTCTCACAATTTATCTAAAAGTAGAGTGGGGGAGTGGGGGGAAGGGGAGCCAGAAGAACTGAAAACTAAAACTACAAAGGCGTCTGACCCGACGGTGAAAGTCAGGTCATTTATACTGTTTCGGTCCACGGGCTTACTGCATGCCCGGTCCCCATAGAAATCCCTTATCAAAGCCATCAGACTCTGTATTTGCTCCCTGATTACAGACCCTGAGCTAACCGCTACGTTTTCTTCCCTGTAATAACGACACTTTGTATTTATCCAGTGCCTTTCTTCCCGTGAGCTTGAAGGTGGCGGCTCCTGACCCCGGGCCTCTGGCCAGCGGACTCGGTTCTCCGAGTCTGCAATTCGAGGTTGGGCAGAGTGGGGCACAGGCAGCCAGCACCGCGGTGGGCAGAGTCCTAGGCTTCAGAGGTGGCGCAGGTGACGGCACCACTGGCCCTGACAGGCCGAGCAGGGCACTGCGGCCGGGGAGAGGCTGGGCTGTTCCCGGCCTCGATTGGAGGGCAAGCAGGAGGCTGCACAGAGGCTTTCCGGACAGTCAGAGGGGCCAGGGGGTGGTGACACACAGAGGGAAGAGGAGGGGAGACGAGGCCAAGCTGTCCCCAGGTGGAATCAGAGAGCCCAACTCCATGTGAGGCAAGCGGAACAGAGGGCGGGGACCTCGGGTGCCCACCGCAAAGCTGGAGTCCCGCCCGGAGGGTGGGCCCTGTTCATGGACTCCTGGACCGCAAGCTCCAGACTGCGGTTCTCTCCAGCAAGTCTTTGCCTGGGATCGGAGAGATGTGAGACCTGCCTGACACCACAGGAGGACTGCTGCGGGGCGGGGCGGGAGAGCCAGCGTGGGCTGGAGTCCCCGGGAGGGCTGCTCTGGTCACCGCTTCCAGCGCGGATGAGGGCCCCGCTGTGTGTGCACAGGAGGGCGAGGCCTGGAGACGGGAAAGCAGGCCGGGCATCAGGCACGGGAACCCGGAGCGCAGGATGCTGTCCGGGTTGTGTGTCATTGCGTTCTCAGCAGCACATTTCAAATTCTGCGGTTTTGCATTGACCTCACCTTGTGGATGGTAGCACTGTGATCACACTTCACAATCACCCAGGGGACGTTTCCTTGTCTTGTCCTCAGGGTGACTTTGTGAACCTTTATCCAGCACCTAACTGAAACACCAATTGGAGCAAGAACATTCCCTCCCAGATCTCACTCAAAAATGCAAAGCTTGGCCGGGCGTGGTGGTGCGCACCTATAATCCTACCAGTTGGGAGGCTGAGGCAGCGGGATTGCTGCAAGTTCAAGACCAGACTGAACTGCATGGCAAACGCTGTCTCCAAAAAACGAAAAGCTTTCATGACTCTATGTGAGCACCTAGTGATCATCATACTCTGTTCTAAGTATGTCTCTTTGATAATCCATTCTTGAAGCTTGGAAGCCATTAACAATTAAGTTTGCCATTCTATATACTTCCCTTTTTTGAAAATCAAGGCAACATTTTGCCAGCTTTATTCTCCAAGATTTCAATTGGAAACTGTCCCCACTCATTATAATTTTGCAAAGACTCACAAGTGTTCAGCAGCACACGTCGTGAAACGCTGCAGAAAGTCCTGGGCTGGGGGCACACTGTGCCTGCCGACGCAAACACCAGGGCTTCCTGAGGGTACAGCGGGCGTTTAGATTAGAGAATAATGCAGAGAGGAAAAAGACACATTGCCAAAACGATGGGGTAAGTGTGCTCAAGTGAGGGGTACTGCCAGCATTTTGAGGGGGACATGGCAGTGTGTAGGGTGGGGAGTGTAGCTCAGAAGTAGGGTGCTTGGCTAGTATGGGAGAGGTCCCAGTCAACCCCAGCACCACAAGAAAGAAAGAAAGAAAAGAGCAGCCCCTCCTGGGGACACCACAAGAAAGAAAAAGAAAGAAAAAAGGACAGGGATTAATGGCAATGTATATTGTACAGTAATAACTGTTTAATACAAGCATCATATATTTTGGGAACAATCTCCTTGATGAAACATTTACAGCAATTTCTGCCAAATAAAAACCCAAGGTGCGTCCTCACCCACCTTACTCACGGGGTCTGGAACTGGCTCTTCCTCAGTATCAAAATGACCGTGAGAGGGAAACGTTTTGAATCAATGCAGGACGTCAAGGCAGCCAGGACAGCGCAACTGAAGACCCTCAGGAAAGAAGGCTCTGGAGCTGCTGCAGACGGTGCTGGGACCCTGGGAGGAGTGAGCGCGGATGAAGGGGAGGACTTCGAGGGGGAGTTGTGGTGACGTGTCTCATACTGAGACAGATATTTTAATTTCAACACACACCGCATTCTGCGCTCACCACATTCCCAGCAGGGACGTCTGCGGGAGGACAAAGCTCTCCCACCTACCCTGCCCAGCGGCACTGCCCTGCCCAGCGGCGCTGCCCCTGGCTGGGAGAGGTGCTGCCCGGATGGACAGGCTGGAGTCACACAGCCCCAGTCCCCCACGCATCACTTCTGATGTCACAAAGCGTCCCAGCTGTCTTCGGTGTCTCTCTCTTTTGGCATCCTTGCCTGACTAGTGCTTGTTTCCTCCGAGTCTGGGCTCTGTAACCCTGTTCGCTTCCTGGATCTATTACTTTAATTCTGGCCATGCTTGTGTACACCACGGGGAGGGCGGGTGTGCGGGGTGTGTGACCAGGTGTGTGGGGCTGTGTGTGGGTGTGCAGGGTGTGCAAGTGCTGGTGTGCTGGGTGTGTGTTCGGGTGTGCAGGGTGGGAGCCCAGGACTGACCCTCGAGGGATGAACAGGTCCCGGCAGTGAAGAGAAGCCCTGCGAGGATGCAGTTTCAGCAAGTCAGGGACCCCGCCTGAGCTGGCAGAACAGGGCAAGTGCGGCCGGCACTGTCCCAGCGGAGCGGGGAGCTGTGACAGCCACGGTCACGGCAGAGGCCGGCGTGCGGATGGGGCTGGGCAGGGCGTGCGAGCACAGACAGCCGTTCGTGTGCTCTGCTGTGCTGACTCCACCCTCCTAGGCCTGTCCGCACTGGACGGCCCCCACTCCTTCCGCCTCTGTGGTGCCACTGAGTTCCGTGAGCACAGCCCTGGCCCCCACACCGCCTGCCCACCCTGGGCTCACACTGGCGCTCTGTCCTCCTGTCTCCTCCCCACGCGCATCCTCCCAGCCTGCCCCCCCACCTGTGCCCTGCGCCCTGCTGGCAGTGGTCAGCAGAGCTCACAGCTCCCGCACCTCTGACACTCTCCACCGCAGGAGTGAGGGCTCGAGCACCGATCAGAAGGGAGTGCAGCTGACAGCAGTTGGCTGTGCTGCCCCCGGGTGTCCGTGGGCCACAGAATGGCCAGGGATCCACACAAAGCTGCTGCCTCCCCAGGCGGCATTGACCACAGGTCAAAATTAAATCTTCGTCCAGGGCTTGTTTCTCTCCTGGCACTGGAGGAGTCTGGGGACAGGGCAGCGGCTGCGCTTTGCTGTGCACTGTCACAGCGGCTGGACAAGGGGGCTCCCCCTGCAGCAGGAGCCTCACCTGAGCTGCGAGGCCGCGGTTTCTGTCTGGAAAGCCTCACCAGGTGTGGGCAGGGGTGAGGAGAAGGGCCGAGGGCTGGCCAGGGGCAGGGACCCCTCTCTGCCCGCCTTGGGGACAGACTGCTGCAGATCTGTGGACATCATGGCTCTGCAAAGAGCCAGGGCCAGCAGATGTTCAGGCCCAAGGCACAGTGTGGATGTCGTGGTCTCCAGCACAGTGGCTCAGCTATGCTGTGGTGCAAACAAGCACGGGGACACAGGGGGACAAGTGGGGACAAGTGGGGGTACCTGTGAGCCACAAGACTATCAGAAAGCCAGTGCCATGGCTTGCTGACCCTCACTCAGAAGTAGTGAGAAGGCAAGAGACTTGCGCCGGGGCATGGAGCTGGGCCAAGTTAGTGCCAGCTCTGCCCCAGGCTGACCTGGAGCAGGCCATAGCATTCCTGGGTTAGAAGGCTCTGACCCAGGGGCTTCTGCCGCGCTGTGTCCCTGAAGCCAGGCCAAGCACCAAGGACAGTGATGACCTGAGGCAGAGCCGGGTGGATGGCTGAGGAGGAAGACCTGGCTTTCAGGGAGGAGTCCAGTGCTGCGCCAGCTTCATCCCACAGGGGTGGCGGCGTGAGCCCATGGTGTCCCTGCACCGTGCTGGGCACCCCGCCAGCAGGGAGCTGAGGAGCATGAGCCCATACCCACCGCAACACGGTGGACAGGCCCAGCCAGCTGCTGCAAGCGTCTGAGCCCAGCCTGAGCTGGATGGCATCCAGTGCTGCGGAGGGAAGGCTGTGTCTCCCCAAGTTTCCTACCTTGAGACCTTAACCCCCGATACACAGGAGATGGTGCCTTCAGAAGAAACTGGGCCATGGAGGAGCCGTGCTCAGAGGGACCCAGGTTGGGTCCTAGAAGGCTTCGGGGAGCTCTGTGGTCTCCTCCTCCATGCAAAGCCCACCAGGAAGAGGCCCTGTTTGGCCACCAGCAGCACCCTGGTCCACCCCCAGGACGTGAGAAAGAGCTTCAGTGTTGAGGTTGCCCAGAGGCCCAAAGCGGCTGAGCACCGGGGGAAGAAACTCCCAGGGTGAACGAGGAAGTACCTCCTTTGATTCTGCTGAGAGCCCCACCAGCCCGCAGAGCAGACCAAAAGGTCCTGCATGTGGCCCACACTTGGGTCCAGGAGGAGCCGTAGCCGAAGGGCTCCCTTTCCCTACCCCATGGGAATGGGTGCGGGTCTGAGGAGCTCTGAGCAGCGGATATCCCTATCCCTCCGGCTGCCTCAGTGACCAGGGAGGGGACGGTGACACGCAGTGCCACGGAGGGGACAGTGCTCCATCTCTGTCCCCGGCACTCCTGTCCCGATGCCCATGGACAGGGGCTCAGCAGCAGCTCGGGTCACGAGGGAATGCCTCCAATTAGGCTTCCTGAGGGCCTCCCCTGCCCACTCACAGGCCTGCACCTGTCCCCGCACAGTGCTGGCCTGTCCGTGGGGCCACCCCAAAGTCCTGTGGACCCCGTTCACGCACCCAAACCTGACCCTGCGTGTCCCCACGACAGCTCCTGCCCACGGAGGCAGCTCCTTCAGGAGGCATTGCTTTCTCTGTTTCCTGCCTCTCCTGTGAGGACTTCCGGAAGGGACGCATGTTTATGTCTACGTTTGTTCAAACTGTGTGACATTCTGCTTTCACTTTAGGTTAAAATTCTCTTTTAATCATTGCAATATACACAGTCAAGTGAGCGTAATCATTCGTAGCTTTTGGCTCAAGTTCAAGCGAGCCTTGCCTGCGATTCCTTAGCTTAGCTCCTGGGCGTCTGTCCTGCGTGCTCTCATCTCGTGTATTGGCAGATTTCACGGCACAGCTGACGGTGTGGAAGGGAGGAGCAGGCTGCGGTGAGGCGCGGAGGGCGGTGGCATCTGCTGGGAAGGGTCAGCGATGCCGACAGCGCGGTGCACCTAGGGCCCTCACCAACAGGCTGGGGTAACTCGAGCTGTTTACATTTTCGTATGGTTTAGAAAGCCTTAAAGTTTTTCATGGCTAGAAAACTGGGGGCAGCGGTGAAAGTGACACAGCGTGTAAGGCAGGTTCCCACAGCAAGCAAATCTCGCACTTGCGAATGAAGGCTGTGTTGTCAGAGCTTGGCCTCGTGCACACCCGGATGGGGGGGCGGGCAGCCAGCAGCTACCTCTGTCCGAGGGATGAGCAGATCGGACTTTCTGTGCTTCCAGAGAGCCTGGGACCTGCACAGACCTAGTGTCCCCTGGTATGCGTCCAAATCAAAAATGTTTCCATTAGAGACAAACCCTGTGTCAGGAGAACGATGCACTTTGGGGAAAATGACCCATAAATCTCCAAGTCACTGTTAACACTGCTGAGTGAGTCAAACCCCAGACTCCCGGTGCCTGGAGTCACCTCCGTGCGCCGTGCTGGGACGGCTACTCCGAGGCCGGGACGCCTGCAGCGGCAGCAGCGTCTCCACAGCGGTGTGGGAGGGTACAGCCCGTGCAGCTGTCCACACGTGGGCTTCCTGAGCACGGCTCCAGGCCAGTGGGGGGCAGGGACAGGGACAGGGAAGGGGTCAGCAGGAGGCCTGGACTCTGCCTGAGGCAGCAACTTGGCCCCGGGCAGTTCTGGGCCCTTGGGTTCAAGTTTTCCACGTCTCCAGAGCAGGAAAGGGTCGGTCACCGCTGCCTCACACTGGCCCTCAAGAAGATGCAGGAATATAGGGTGCTGTCTGACAGCCCCGTGGGCACCAGGGCAGAGGGCTGGGCTGTGTGGGTGTCTGGGGCCAGGCTCAGTGTGGCCTCCTCCCGGCTCCTTGGGGTCCCCTGCGCAGCAGGTTGCTCCCAGCGAGGCTCCGCCCACCACAGCAAGGAGGCACAGGCGGAGGCCGTGGGTGAGCGGGGGCTGGCAGCAGAGGGCAGGAGGCATCATCGTGGGGAGCAGGGTCCCCGGCACGACACGCCCTGCACCCTTGAGCCCCGGGCCACCACTTCCTGTCCTTCCTGAGGACACGCACCAGGGCCTGGCAGGATAAGCTGCAGCCCGGCCCTTGCCCCACCTTCGTCACACTGCTGCCCTGGGACTGGACAGTCTGACCCTGGTCCATCAGCAACAGGCAGAGTGGAGGCTGGGCCACGGTGGGGGGCCTGGGCACCCCTCATGCCACGTCCCAGCGCTGGCCCATGCGCGCAGCGGCCTGCTTTCTCCGCACGCGGTAAACCCAAGCTGTGCCCCTGCCTGCCCTCTGCCCGGGGTTGTCCCAGGAGGTCTCTCTGAGGAGCAGTCACACCACCCCCGCCTCAACCAAACTATGACTTTCCAGCAGCCTGTCTTCTTTGTTTATGGCTCCAAATTCTTGGTGGTTTTTAGAAAAATCTAACGGAGTGTGGTATAAAGACGAGCAATCTACATTTGATTTCATCCGGGGCTTTTTGCTCACAGTCTTTCTGAGTGATGAGTTTTGAACATCTGAAGGGTTAAATACTAGTACGATGGCAAAGTCTGAGCAAAACCATAAGTTTAATATTATTTTAAAGCTCAGGTGATTTAACACGACACCCAGCTTGAGTAGTGCTTTACACGGCTGTGGAGATATCAGGGTTTAAACAGATGTCAGCAATTTTTTTTTTTTTTTTTACCAAACGGAAATTGAGTTCTACAGATGGTGGAGACTGAGGAGTTCAAAGTGCTGTGTGCTGTGTGAAAAGTGTACACTTGAGTAAAAGTAATCTTCTTTATATTTCAAGTCTGAAGGTGCTTTTGGGGGTGAAGAGGAGGATTGTTTAGCCGGTCGGGCAGAAATCCGTTTACTCCTCGCACGCGTCCTCCGTGCCCTCCACCGCGCTCTGCCCCAGGACCTGTGCCCTCCGAGGTGCTGCTCCTCCCGCTCAGCCTGCCTGGAGGATCCCGGGGGATGGACAGGGCGTTGCAGG